AGAAGACGAGGCGAGGGTAGCCCATCTACTTCCACTGCCGCGTCAAGTTTGCCAACCTACCCTGGCCCTGAGACAGTGGAGGCGGCTTGGAGGACGAAGCCCGCCACTGACTTGCTCGAGCTCCCCCCCCAGGGCTTGCGAGGACCACTGGTGTGGGACCCCACCAAGCCGAATCGCTGGAGGGAGGATTAGGTTCACTACTGCCTCACATAGCTTGGGGTGGCCTAAGGGAGAGGACAACTTACTCGGTTGGGATGGATGGACCGCTTATCCCACATCCCATGCCGCAGCAGCCTGGTGTATTAAGACCTCGGACTGGACCTAGGCGCAGTAGAAATGGCCCCAGCATTATCACGATCAATGGCTCGAGTTGGACTTCAACCACCCTGGATTCCCGCAGTCATGTAGATATTGTTTTGGTTCGAGAACACCGCCTTTAACCTAATCGGTATGATAGTGTAGTGAACCCCCTCCGTCTAGCTAGATGGCGTGTCTTCGGGGACCCATGTTCTATCGCAAACAAGGGTCGATCGTCAGCCGGGGTGATGGCAATGGTCAGGGACTACCTGGGCGCATGGGCCCCAGACGAAAGCATCTTGCACCCGGGAAGATTGGCCAGAGCTTTCCTGAGGCTCAAGGGCACCTACCTGCTGATCAGCGTTCAGATCTGGGAGAAAGCTGGATTGGGTATTCTTGGCTCAGAATTCCCGTCTGCATGTGGAGGTGTCTTCAACGACGCCCCTCAGAAGCTGAACGCTGTCCTATCTACGCTCAAATTGCGAGGGCTCGCGCGCGCGGACGAAGTGAACCCATCTTACTACCTTGGCGAGCATTCCTCAACCATCGACTTCTTCCTTTTCGACAAGGTGCTGGATCAGATATCGGAGGTTGGAGTTACGACGGATATCCCAGTGTCCCCACACCGCCCAGTTTCGCTTAAGCTGGAGGAAGTTGGTGATCCTTTTTCGGATGTTTTGTCTACGTATCAGAACATGCCCCTCAGCGTGTCTATGGCCCTGTGTTGCGGCCGCGGCAATGGGATGATCTGGGGAGCAAGCTGGATAGTTTCCTGGGCCCCATTCGCGGAAGAATGGAGGAGCGCGCGTTGCAGGGGGCATGAAGGACGAAGCCATCAACCTCACGCATGGCATCTCCCAGCGCTGGAACGACACGGCCTGGACCGAGCTGAAAGATGTGGCAGGTCATGGTGGACCTGGCTTGCAGGGAGGGGCAGACTTCCAATGGGAAGTGACCCCGCTCAAGGATTTGTTGAGGACCAAGTCGCCCAGAAAAAGTTGACGCCCAGAGAGCCGTGATTTGGGTTATTCAGCAAGTGACCCACGTGAGATATCTCACGAGCAAAGGTTGTAAAATGGGATGTGTGCTGGTGTCGCGAACATGTCGGCCCAGATCCGGGGAGGCCCGTTTCGGCAGGTTTGGACCAGAGGAGGCAGCTCGCGGCGCCCCATTCTTTTGCTTGTAGGGACTCTGGTGCAAAAACCGAACATCCACACTCGGAGGGTCTTAGATGAGATCATCTCTTTTGCCCAGCTCATGCGTGGTAGGCTCCCCTGCTCAGCGCCCCCGATCCGTGGGGAGGAATGGTGTGTGTGTGTGTGTGTTTGTGCGTGTTTGTGTTTGTGTGTGTGTGTGTGTGTGTTTGTGGGTGCGTGTGCGTGCGTGCGCGCGCGCGCGCGCGCGTGTGTGTGTGTGTGTGTGTGTGTGTGTGCGTGTGTGCGTGCGTGCGTGCGTGCGTGCGTGCGTGCGTGCGTGTGTGAGAGGAAGAGGAGGAGGAAGAGGAGGAGGAGGAGGAGGAGGAGCGGGAGGAGGAGGAGAAGGAGGAGGAGGAGGAGAAGGATAATATTAACAATAATAATAGTAAGAAGAAGAAACACAATGATGACATAATACTCATAATACTGATAATAAGAATACTAAGAATACCGAGAAGAAAAATAATAATGATAAGAGGGATTAGAGGCATAGTAATAATAAAAAGAATACTAACAAGGAGAGGAGGAGGAGGAGGAGGAGGAGGAGGAGGAGGAGGAGGAGGAGGAGGAGGATGAGGTGGAGGAGGGGCAGGAGGAGGAGGAATAAAACATATAATGATCATAGTATTAATAATAAGAAGAAGAATAACGGTACGACGAATGTTAACAATAGGGCTAGTATAATAGGGGGAGGAGTAATAGCAATCTCAATAATAATAGAATAATACTAAGACGAATAGTATGATTAATAATTTAAACAATACTAAGACTGATACGAATAAGAACAATACGAATACTCAGAAGACTACTGCGAATAATAATAGTAATAATAATAGCAGGCAGCATACTAATAACACTAATCGTAATACTATCAAGAATGCTAAGAATAATATCCGTAAGGGCTTCGCCCCCTGCCGCCGGCCCCCTCTCTCGGAGAATGGGCCATGGAAGAGCTAAGTCATGAGGCTTTGGCGCTGTCGCGCAGCAGTATCGGAACTTCATGCGAGGCCGATTCGCAATCGGCAAAACCAACTGATCACAAGAGGGGTTATCACACAGGGCGATTGGTAAGACGTGTATGGTTTACGAGCTTGGTTACCACACCTTGGGATTAAAGGGCCGAGGGGGTACTCGCAGTTTGGGTTACCACGCCTTGCGATGGATGTCCGTGAGGGGTGGCACCGAATTTCAGAAATGTGGCAAATCCCCTGTGTTTTTGGACCCTGACCCCGCGGATCTGCGTGAGGGGTGGCACCGAATTTCAGAAATGTGGCAAATCCCATGTGTGTTTGGACCCTGACCCAGCGGATCTGCGTGAGGGGTGGCACCGAATTTCAGAAATGTAGCAAATCCCATGTCTTGTTTTTGACCGTTGCAAATCCCCTGTGTATTTGGACCCTGACCCCGCGGATCTGCGTGAGGGGTGGCACCGAATTTCAGAAATGTGGCAAATCCATTGTGTTTTTGGACCCTGACCCCGCGGATCTGCGTGAGGGGTGGCACCGAATTTCAGAAATGTGGCAAATCCCATGTGTTTTTGGACCCTGACCCCGCGGATGTGCGTGAGGGGTGGCACCGAATTTCAGACATGTGGGAAATCCCATGTGTTTTTGGACCCTGACCCCGCGGATCTGCGTGAGGGGTGGCACCGAAGTGGCAAATCCCATGTGTTTTTGGACCCTGACCCTGCGGATCTGCGTGAGGGGTGGCACCGAATTTCAGAAATGTGGCAAATCCCCTGTGTTTTTGGACCCTGACCCCGCGGATGTGCGTGAGGGGTGGCACCGAATTTCAGAAATGTGGCACATCCCCTGTGTTTTTGGACCCTGACCCCGCGGATCTGCGTGAGGGGTGGCACCGAATTTCAGAAATGTGGCAAATCCCATGTGTTTTTGGACCCTGACCCCGCGGATCTGCGTGAGGGGTGTCGATTTCGAGCCCCCCCAGCAATTCAGACAACGCGCCCAGGGGGTGCGAACAAATTCTGTTTGGGCCTCCCCCCCCCTCGCGCGGTCAATCAACTAGTTACAGTAACCAGCAAGAAGCATAACTGTAATGGAAACTACAAGCTACAACTGGTACTGGAAACTGCGAACCCGCGCCTACAGCCTGGTGGCCCCACAAGGGGGCCGGCGGATTCATAATACTAATAATATTGAAAAGAACATGATTACAACTAGTACGAATAATGCGACTAATAGTTACAATAGCAAGAATGACCATACTAATGCTACTAACAATGATTGAATATCAATATCAGTCATACTCATAATGCTAGTACTAAGGGTACCGATGACAATAATAATAATGATAGTACTAATCGTAATAACAATCAAAAGCCATGACATACACTACTCATACAAATGATACGAATACTGATATTAGTACTAATACGACTACTAGTACTAGTACTAGTACTACTACTACTACTACTACTACTACTACTACTAATACGAATACTAATACTAATACGAATGCGAATACTAATACTAGTACTAGTACTAGTACTAATACTAATACTAATACGAATGCGAATACTAATACTAATGATAATACTAATACTAATACTAACACGGGTACTAATACTAATACTACTGCTAACACATACTACTACTACTACTACTACTACTACTACTACTACTACTACTACTACTACTATCACTACTACTACTACTACTACTGCTGCTACTGCTACTGATACTGATACTACTACTACTACTACTACTACTACTACTACTACTACTACTACTACTACCGCTACTACTAATACTGATACTATTACTAACACTACTAATAACACTAATGATGCTAATGATAACACTGAGACAGATAATAAGACGAACAAGACTAACAATAATAATAATAATAAGAGGAGGAGGAGGAGGAGGAGGAGGAGGAGGAGGAGGAGGAGGGGAGGAGGAAGAGGAGGAGGAGGAGGAGGAGAGGAGGAGGGGAGGCTGGGCAGCGGAGGAGGAGGAGGATGAGGCAGAGGAGGGGAGGAGGAGGAGGGGAGGCGGAGGAGGAGGAGGAGGAGGAGGAGAGGTGGAGGAGAAGGAGGAGGAGGCAGAGGAGGAGGAGGAGGACGGAGGAGGGAGGAGGAGGAGGAGAGAGGAGGAGGAGCGGAGGAAAAAGAGGAGCGGACGAGGAGGGGGAGGCGGAGGAGGAGGAGGAGGAGGGGAGGAGGCGGAGAGAGGAGGAGGAGGAGGAAGAAAAGAGGAAAGCGGAGAGAGAGGGGGAGGAGGAGGAGGAGGAGGAGGATGCAGGAGGAGGCAGGAGGAGGAGAAGGAGGCGGAGGAGGGAGGAGGAGGGGGAGGGGGACGAGGGCGGCGAAGGAGGAGAGGATGAAGAGAGAACGAGGAGGAGGAGGAGACGAGGAGGAGGAGGCGGGAGGAGGAGGAAGGTGGAGGAGGAGGAGAAAGAGGACGTTGAGGAAGAGGAGGAGGATGAAGAGGAATTGGAGGAGGAGGAGCACCATTTCGATTTGCAGTTCGACGTGCCCCCCGACAGGTGCTCCCCCGTTGCCGACCGGCTTCAGAAGCTGCTCGAGAGGTGCGAGGCCCTGCTCCCGCCGCAGGCGGGGCTGGGCCGCACACAGAGCCTACGGGCCCCTTCCGTCCCTCCCTCCCTTACTTCTGCTCCGTGCATCCCTTGCTCCCTTCATTCCTTCCTCCATTTTTCCTCCTCCTTCCCCCTTTCCTTCCTTCTCCTCTTTGCAGTAGTAGTCGTAGTAGTAGTAATAGTAGTAGTAGTAGTAGTAGTAGTAGTAGTAGTAGTAGTAGTAGTAGTAGTAGTAGTAGTCGTAGTCGTAGTAGTAGTAGTAGTAGTGGTA